TGAGCGCGAAGTGGCAGCAGGGGCTTGCGCGCCCGGGTTCTGAGTTTTCTCAGAGGGCTCAGAAGTTCCCCGGCCTTCTGAGAGATTCTTCATAAGGCCGCAAGGCTTTGAGAAGCTCCGCCGCCTTTTGAGAGAGCCTTCTCCTTCTCACTTCTCGCTCTCGCTCGCCGCAGAGAGCCGCAGAGGTCAGAGATTTTTGCGCGTTTCCGTCGATTTGGTGGTTTTCCAGCCTCCTGGCTCGAGGTTCGAGGTTTTCGGGCGTTTCCGTCGACACGGCGGTTTTCCAGCCTCGGCGTGCGCTCTAGCGGCTGCGCCTCGCCGAGAGCGTTCATGGGGTGCCCCGATCGTCCCGAACCGACCGCCGGAGGCCCGAGTCACGACCCGAGTCAGGAGGCGGAGGAGGAGAGGGGCGAGGAGGACGAGCTTTAGGACCAGTCCTATTCACCGCCGAGTGAACGGGGGGGATCAAAACTACAGACCCTTCGCGGTTCTGACTACTTCGACGGAACGTCTCAGGGGCCATCAGAGGCGCGCGCGGGCCCCCGTGCGCTCCGGCGACCCCCGCGCCGCCAGCAAGAAGAGGCCACCTTGCGCTGCAGAGCAAATCCTCCTCCTCCTCCTCCTCCTCCTTCGCCATCTCCTCATCAAACTTCGCGGGGTCTTTCACCACGGCCGGAGGCGGGCCTTTCTGCAAGATCTACCGTGGCGGCGGCCGAAGCAAACACGCATCATCCGTGATCATCCATGCACATTGCCCTGCTGAGCATTACGTACAGATGCACCCACCAGTTCTCAGCTGCCCTCCGGTCTGCCAGTGCTCGTGTCCTGCGCGCATTCGATGGTCACCCCGGTGCGGATCGTCTGGCCCTGGTACGTGAGCGCGGATCCCAGCCTGCGGATCTTGTGCTCTGTCGCGCCCCTGGAAATTAACCCCTATCGGCGGGAAGCAGAACAGGCCGTCCTCCTTGAGTTCCTGGATTCCGAAGGAGGTGATGGGGGGGGGCATCGGCTACATCCGGACCCTGCTCGGGGAACTTGTCCACCTGCATCCATATACTGGCAGGCAGAAGCCGTGGCCAGAATACCCATGCCAGAAAACGCGCGCCGTAGTTGTGTTGGCTCTTCATGTGGAGCACGAAGCTCGTGATGGTGGCTTTTGCTCCTGGACAAAGACTTTGCGCTTGGACACCTTGGCGGTGAAGTTCACCGGCATGCCCACTCGCGCAGGAAGAGCTCCGTGCGCGTGCCCCGTGCCGCCGGGCTCGGCATGTTCCACAGCCGTGGCCACGCCTGCCACGCCCTTGGGCCCTGAAGCAGAAGAGACCGCGGCGAAGGACCACCCTCTGCGACCCCCTGTGAGGTGGAGGAAGTGCCACGCCTGCCACGCCCCGCGAGTCGAGACTGATAGAGACCGCGGTGAAGGACCACCCTCTGCGACCCCATGTGGTGTGGAGAACTGCTACCTCTGCCACGCCCCGTGGCCCGGACGACTGGGCGCCACGGTGAGGGATCGCCCCCTCGCACACCCGCTGTGGTGTAGACAAATTGCCACGCCTGCCACGCCCCGCGACCATGAGAGGAGGGGCCGCGGTGAAGGACCCCCCCGCCTGCCCCCCCCTGTGGTGTGGAGGAGGTGCCACGCTTGCCACGCCGGGCTACCTTGAGATGGATAGAGGCCGCGGTGAGGGACCACTTCATGCGCACCCCCTTTGGTGTGGAGAGAGTGCCACCCCTGCCACACACCGCGACCCCGGAACTGATAGAGACCGCGGTGAGGAACCACCTCTTTGCACACCCCCTGTTGTGTGGAAAAGGTGCCACGCCTACCACGCCCGCGGCCTTGATACGGACAGAAACCGCAGTGGGGGAGCACCCTCTGCGCACCCCCTTGTGGTATGGAGAACATCCACGACTGCCACGCCCCGCGACCCTGAGACGGATATAGGCCACGGTCAAGGACCCCCCCTGCCCGCACCCTGTGGTGTGAATCATACGCGTGTCGCGTATGTGCTGCGTTTTGTGCGTGTCATGTGAATGATTCGGTCTGCGTCTGCGTGTCCAGTGTATGTGCGTAAGTGGACGTGCGTACCATGTGGATGTCATGTATCGTGCTTGATGCGTCTGGTGTGTGTGTGTGTGTGTGTATGTCTGTCCGATGTGTGTGTGTGTGTGTGTACTCGCGTGTGTGTACGAATTGAAATGAGGAAGGGCCTGCGACGTGGGCGTGGGGATGTCTGCGCGGATGAGAAAGGGACGGGAGTGACATGAGACGCGGGTGCGGGTGGCGGGTGCGGGTGGGAAGAAAACCAAACCCCACTTACCATACGGGGAACATGGATGGCGAAGTCTTAAAACGTACGTCGGGGATAAACCCCGTCGAATTCGACTTCTGAGGCCACGGCCTCCACGCCGCGTTCTGCTGGACACGAGCGGGTTCCGTCGCGGAACGCGCACGACTAGCGTCCGTTCGTTCTTTCGTCGGTGCTGCCGGTGTCGTCGGGGACCTCTCGTCGGCGCCCTCGGTTTTTGTCGGCGTCCCGCCCCTGCGTCCCGGCGCTGCCGTGGCAGGCGGACCTGTCCAGCAACCCTGGCGGCGAGGGCCCCGCGTCGTCGAGCACATGCCGCGCGACTCCGGCGTCGTCCTCGTCGGCGCGCCGCGCCGCGCCGTGGGCGCTCCTCCGCGGGCGGGACAGTGGAGGAAGGATTGGCGGGGGGGCAGGGAAGGGATAGGCTCCGAGGTTCGAGGTTAGAGATTTCGGGCGTGCTCGTCGGCACTCGTTGGCTTTCCAGCCTCGGGATGCCTTCCAGCAGCTGCGCTTCGCCGATGGCGTTCTGGGGCTGCCCGGATCGTCCCGATCGGGCGCCGGAGAGCCGCGTCGTGAAAGAATAGTTTGAAATCGCGACGGGAGGTTTTTGGCAGTTTTCGGCCTCTGGGAGTCCTCGCCAGGCCCCACCAGAACCGATACAATGTGTCGCGATGGCAGTGCGGCCCTGGGAGGAGGGTCGGGATCTCGGGGACCCCGCATGGGGAAAAATCAGCACGTCGGATGTCTGGGGTGGATTGGGATGGGAGGGGGCGAGGGGCAATCCGAAGGGGGCTGGGCGCAGGGCGGGGGTGCATCTGCCCCCAGCCGCCCACTGATCGGGCGGTTGGGGCCCGATTAGGGGCCCGGCAGCCCGCCCCGCCCAGGACAGTGCGGATGCGCTATCGGGGGCGCATTCGTTGCCGAGCCATCGGCGACGTATCGCCGATTCCGGTTCGACGTTTCTGCCCCCCTTGAGCCGGTCCCCCTCCCCGAACGTGCCCCCTCAGGGGAGGGAAGGGGGCTCAGGATTCAGGATCCAATCGCGGTGTATCCGCAGCAGTTATGGTACGGGGGAATGGGGAGGGACGGAGGGAGGCACGGGGGAGCGGGGCTGGAGCGGAGGGCGGGCAACGTGGATGGGGTGCAGGGGGGGGAGCGTCGGAGGGAGGGGGGACGGAGAGAGGAGAGCAAGGGAGGAACAGGATAGCGAGTTAGAGGGAGAGTGAGAGAGAGAGAGAGGGAGGGAGGGAGGGAGCGAGGGAGGGAGGGAGCGAGAGGGAGGAAGGGAGGGAGAGAGAGAGAAAACAAAGCGATCGAAGTGGACATTGACACCAGAGAGGCCCTGCGGCATTGTCACTTGCGGCTAGGAGCTGACGGAGGTTGAGAGGAGTGGAGTGACTCGGAGGTGGCAGGCAGGAGAGGGAGAGTCATGGTGGTGCGGCGAGAAGAAAACAATAGCGTAGGACGCAAGCAAGGAGGGGAGCGGAGGGCGGAGGAGAGGGGATTGGAGGGAACATTTGGAGAGGGCAGGTGGGAAGACGGGGATGGTGAGGGCGGCGGTGAGACCTCGCAAAGGGGGCGGGCGGGAGGGTGAAAGGGAGAAGGGGGGGGGTAGAAAGGGATGGTGATAGCGGCGCGAGGGCGTGGTGAGGGGGAGGAGACGGAAGGAGGGCGGGGGGAGAAGGAGAAGGGAGGGGGCCGAGGAGGGGGAGTGGGGCAGGGGGAGCGGAAGCGGAAGAGGCAGGCGTCCCACCGTCTTGCTCCTCCCCGTCCTCCGCCCGTCCTCTTGCCTCCGTCGCTGCGGCGGCCGTTGTCCAGACTCGGAGCCCGCCCTGCCCTCGGCCGCCGTGGCTCCTCCTCTTACTCGTCGTTCTCTTGTTCCGCCCCCCGTCCCTCTCCTCCTCGGCGTTCGCCTCTCGTCGCTCTCCTCGTCGTCGTCCTCTAGTCGTCCTCCTCTCGTCGTTCTCCTCTCATCGTCCTTCTCGTAGTCGTTCTCCTCGTAGTCGTTCTCCTCTCGTCGTCCTCCTCGTCCCGTCGTCCTCCTCGTCGTTGTTCTCGTCTCGTCGTCATCATCTCGTCGTTCTCGTCGTCGTTCCTCCTCCTCGTCGTCCTCCTACAGTCGTCCTCCTCTCGTCGTTCTCCTCTCGTTGTCCTCCTCGTAGTCCTCCTCCTCTCGTCGTCCTCCTCTCGTCGTCCTCCTCTCGTCGTCCTCCTCCTCTCGTCGTCCTCCTCGTCGTTGTTCTCCTCCCGTCGTCCTCATCTCGTCGTTATCCTCGTCGTCGTTCCTCCTCCTCCTCCTCGTCGTCGTCGTCGTCGTCGTCGTTGCCTTTCTCCTCTCGTCGTTCTTCCTTCTCGTCGTTCCCCCTCGTCCTCGTCGTCGCCCTCGGCCTCCGCCAGGAGGGGTGGGCGGGAGGGGGCGGGGGCGGGCAAGGGCGGGGGGGGGGGGAAGGGCGGAGCAGCGAGCAGCGCGGCCAGGCCCCTGCCAAGGAGGAGCCCGGGCCCGAGGAGCCGAGGACCCCCGTCGCCCGCCGTCGGTGGCGAGGGGCCGAGGGGTGTGTGTGTGTGTGTGTGTGTGTGTGTGTGTGTGTGTGTGTGTGTGGGGAAGGCGAGGGGCCGAGGGGGGGGAAGGCGAGGGGGGGGGGCGAGGGGCCGAGGGGTGTGGGGGTGTGGGGGGGGAAGGCGCGGGCGGGTGCGTCGCAAGGCGGCGCGGCAGTTCTTACCGCTCCGCCTCTGGCCCCCCCCCCCCCTCGCGTATCTCTGTCTCTACTCTCTCGCTCTCTGTCTCTGTCTCTCTTCTCTCTCTCTCTCTCTTGGTCGTTGTCTCTGTCTCTCTCTCTCTCTCTTCACCACTCCTGCGACTGGTCCTCCTCTCCTAGTCTTCTTCTGCCTGCTCCCCGCTGCTTCCTCCCCCTTCCCAATCTCTCCCTCCTGTAGTTCCTTCCATCCTCCCCCTTATCACTGCCCACCTCCTCGCCCGCTCTCCTTTCATCACCTTCGTCTTCTCTTCAGCCCCTCGTCACCGCTTTCCCGCCCCTCCACGAGCTTTTTTATATCAAACGAATCCGGGGCGATGACAGCCGTCACCAGGGGTGGTGGGAAGGGGGCCGGTGACGTCGGCGCCGTCATTGCCCTTGCCGTCGTCATCGCCACCATCGTCACAATTATCGCTATTCTCATCATCGTGTCTACCGTTGTCTTTGTCGCCATGATACCGCGCCCGCCCCGCCCAAGTCACCGACTCGCGCCGAATTGCCCGCTGGGAAGTACCCAGCGGTCAGCGACTGCCGCGGTCAGCGCCGCCGCGGCCGCGTCGGTCGCGCCGCACTAGCTGGCCGCTACGTGCGTGAGCATGCGCGGGCCAGCGCGGCCGCAGAGATGCACTGGCCAACGCAAAGCACTCATCGCAATCGCCGTCGCGTGGGTTTTGCAAATCAAATTGCCTGTTGGTTGGTGGGATGATTGCGCGAACGCTGGACTTGATTGACAATTCAGTGCGAGCAACGGCAAACTGCACCATATAGACCGCACTACACGGAGTGCGCAACATAGAGTGCGCGCCACATGCTGCGCAGCATAGATTGTGCCACACCGACTGTCCCACATATGTTACAATATACATATAATCGTGTCCAACATAAATATTGACTCTACCCCCCCACCGGACTTACTGACGCCCTTTTTCGTATTCCAGTTTGCATATGATTCTGCCCCATCGCCAGTCGTATGTAAACACTCTTATCAGCCAAGCCAGGCCGGTATCGCCCCCCCTCATCTCTTCGGACAAAACCATGCGCGCACGCTCGTTTATCAAGGTTCATCAGTTTTCAAGAATCCCGTGCACCATAGTGGACGAAAAAACACGCGCGCGCGTCGTCGGGCTCGCGGGCACGCATGTAAACATCCTTCAAGTGCCTCGGATTTCGTGTGACATTCATAATCCGGTGTTCCGAAAACATATGAAACACACGGCTGCCCAACAAATATTCTCAAACAAAACAAGTGCTCGGACTTTTGGTGGTTATTGAGTGTGCTTCTTTGTTTGTATAGTTCCTTGTCCATACATATATATATGTATATATGTTTATTTGTATGTATACGTGTGTATATTTACAACCCATGTGGTTACATTTGTGCATCTATGACATACGTTTCATACTGAATCCCAAATCGAGTTCCCCGCAACCTTATACAAACACATGGTTTCGTACCACCGGGTTGCAAACAAAAAACAACGTTTTTTGTGTTTGTTTTTTCCTTCTTCTTCGAACGTTTCCATTCGAACGGGCCTGTCGCGCCGCATGAATCATTCAAACGCCTTTGCGTGCGCGCGGGGTGGGGGCGGGGGCACGATTCGTGTCAATTAGTACCATGCGGGTCAGTCTCGCGCCTCGGCCGCGCGCGCATGCCGAACTCTTCCCAAACAACTGCGTCACCATTGCGAGGACGCCGCCATCGTCGTCGGCGTGATCAACATCGGCGCCAGCATTGGCCATGCCGTCGTCGTTGTCATCATCGTCTCCAGCATAGCTACTATAGCATCATCGCGTCTGTTGTTGTCGACGTCGCCATGATACCGCGCCCGCCCAAGCCGCCGACACGCATTGTAATGCCCGTTGAAAAGTGCCCAGCGGTCAGCGCCACCGCGGCCGCGTCGGTCGCGCCAAACTAGCTGGCCGCTTCGCGCGCGAGCATGCGCGCTAGCGCGGCCGCGGCGATGCGCCAGCCAGCGCCGAGGAGTCATCGCAATCGCCGCCGTAAGGGTTTTGCAAACCAAGTTGCGGGTGGGTGGGTGGGATGATTGCGCGAGCAGTGGGTTTGACGACTGCACGTTCGAAGTGGTGAACTGCGCATCGTAGATCGTGTTACTTTTATTGCAAAGGTTGTACAGCGTGGACTGCATAACAAATCTGGCACGACATGGAATGCTCCACGTGGTTTTTCACACGTATCTCATACCAATGCTAAACACCGCGCTGTTCGGTGTCCACGCTGGTTAACATCTGTGTTTCTGTCCATCCCTTGCGTCTTCGATGTTTGAAATATGCGTTTTCGCTGCAGCATGGGCCTCGTTTCAAGATCGGCGCCTTGCTTCCGCCGTTCAGAATGACGCTCTTGATTAATCGCGGGCAACTGTTGTGGATCCGAGTTCAACGTCATCGTTGTCGTCCCCCTCTTTTACCCTCCTCCGCCTTCCCTTGGTCCTCCTGCTCTTCCCGCTCCTTCCACTCCAGTTCCTGATGCTGCTGCTGCTGCTGCTGCTATCCGTCATCGTTATGCTCCTTCCGCATCCTCCTACTCCTCCTCCTCCTCCTCCTGCTTCTCGTGGTCCTCGTGCTCATCGTCATGCACATCCGCCACCTCCTCCTCCAGTTTACGCAACTCTCCTTGCCCGCTGGCGCATCGCACGATGTTTGTATGTTTTTTTAATATTCCATTTTTCTTGTGATTTCCAGTTGCGCTATGATACGCGCCGGTGGCTAATAACAAGTCAGCGCAATGGGACGGGATGCGTGGGAGGAGTAGGATGTCATATATGGCGCGAACACGCCTAGTTTGTCTCCTTGCACTCTCTCTTTTCCGCTCCTCCACTTTCTCTCGTTCCCCCCTTCATGGCGGATGGGGGCGAGAGAGGGATGGTGGATGGGATGGAGGGACTTTGTCCTTTGTGATGCCCCCGTATGGACGCCTCCATCCGTTTTTGAAGCGCTGGTGATGTCATCCAGTGTAGCCAGTGGCAAAAGACGCTGGGCAACATTGAGTGCTCTGGCGCTGTAGGTTCTCCACGGGCACGCGGAGGGAGGGGCTGAAGGCATGGGAACTGGGGGGAGGGGAGGGGGAAGTGAAAGAGGGAGGGAGGGAGGGAAGGAGGGAATGATAGAGGCAGGGGGAGGCACGAGTGACGGCGGGGTTGAGATGTGCCCGGATGCGCCCGGGCGGAGGGCCCCCGTCGTGGTGCCAAGGACTCGCGTGGAGTCCATCATTTCCGAGCTCTTTCAGGCCGGGGTAGCAGCGGGACCTCGCGTTTTTGGAAGCTTCTCCGCTTTCCCTTGTCTGTGTGTGCACCCAGCCCGCCCCGCCCTCTCCCCTCCGACTGGGCCTTCGCATTCTTTCGCACCCCCCACCTCTCTCTCTTTCCGTTTCTCCGTTTCTATCTCTGCTTATGTGTTTGCTTTTGTCTTTGTCTCTGTCTCTTTCTCTCTCTCTCTCTCTGTACTGGCCCGCCCCGCCCTCTTCCGTGCCCGCCAGTCCCTTCCGTTCCGCTCGCCTCCGTCGTTGTTTGGGTGACTGGTGTTCTGCTCCTGCCGTTCAGTCTCTACCTGCCGCCGCCGCCGCTGCTGCCTGCCGCTTCCCTTTTCTGGTGCGCTCCAGCAGGCGCAGCCTCGTCCGGATGGTTGCTGCAGTCGGCATGCGCAAGAGGACAAGCATATCAGCCCGTTATATTCTTTTCGGGAATCATCCGTTAAACTTGTGGAACGGTGCAGCGAAGATTCGCGTTGCCCCTGGGCAGGTTTTGGCAGGCCAGGGGCCGATGCGCTTTGAGGGCTGGTGCGCATCGTTCGCAGAGTGCGCCTGGACGAGACACAACACACTGGTGCGAGACAGTGTCGAGAGCAGCCTGGCTACGCTGCAGGCAGGCGCTGCACTACAGGCCGGGCGGTTCGGTCAGCCAGTGCAGGAGGCGCAGCACGCACACCTGACTGCCAACAGCAGCATGCCGAGTGAGTCGAGGGGCTGACTGCATCCCCCCCCTCGTCCTGCCGCTCCGCTCGCCTCTCCGCCCCCGCTTCTGTTGCTGTTGTCGCTCCTCTTTTCCTTTGCCCCCTCTTCTTTGTCCTCGCCCCCTCTTTCCCCTCGAGGCAATCCCGATTCCCGCCCTGCACGCATTTCTTGGCAACCCTAGCATCCTCTCGCTCGTGCGCCCGCCGCCGGAGGGCAAGATTGTCTCGGTGGTCAGATGTCTGGAGTGCAGCAGGACATCCAGGACGCACGAGGTGGGGCCGGAAGATAACGGCGATGCTGCTGATGATGCCGCTGATGATGATGATGTTGATGATGATGCTGATGATGATGATGATGCTGATGATGATGATGATGATGATGATGATGATGATGATGATGATGATGATGATAAGGAGGAGGATATTGAGGGTGATGATGATGTTGATCATGTTCATGCTGCTGCTGATACTGATGCTGCTGATGATGGTGATGATGCTGACAAGGAGGAGGATGATGAGGGTGATGGTGATGTTGATCATGCTCATGATGCTACTGCTGATGATGATGATGATGATGATGCTGATGCTGATGATGCTGCTGATGCTGCTGCTGATGATGATGCTGATGATGCTGATGCTGATGATGATGATGGTGATGCTGATGATGACTCTGCTGATGATGATGATGATGCTGCTGATGATGATGCTGATGCTGATGATGATGATGATGGTGGTGATGATGATGATGATGATGAGGAACAGGAGGATGAGGAGGATAATGAGGGCGATGGTGGTGTTGATCATGTTCATGCTGCTGATGATGATGCTTCTGATACTGATGATGATGATGAGGATGATGATGATGATGATGATGATGATGATGATGATGATGCTGCTGATGATGATGATGATGATGATGATGATGATGATGAAGCTGATGATGATGCAGATGCTGATGATGATGATTATGATGATGATACCGATGTCGATGGCGATGCTTGTGGTGATGAGGTCAATGCTGCTGATGATTAGGAGTCTGATAATGATGACGGCGACAATGAGGATGCTGACGGTGGTGCTCATGATAGTGGTGGCGACGACGATGTTGATGCTGACTGTGATGCTGCTGCTGATGGTGAAAGAGGTAGTGCTGATGGTGATGCTGATGATGATGATGCTGATGATGATGCTGATGATGATGATGATGATGGTGGTGATGATGATGATGATGATGATGATGGTGATGATGATGATGATGCGGATGAGGATGATGATGAGGATGAGGATGAGGATGAGGATGAGGATGATGAGGATGATGATGATGATGATGATGATGATGATGATGATGATGACGATGACGATGATGATGATGATGATGATGATGATGATGATCATCATCATGGTGGTGGTGGTGGTGATGATGATGATGATGATGATGATGATGATGATGATGATGATGATGATGATGATGGGGGTGCGTGCACGGATATGATTAAGCGGGGAGTGTGGTGTCGTCTGCCAACGATTAGCAGGGAGCATTGCGACCGCAGTCCTTCTCGGTTCTCAGGCTATGCAGTGGCAAGCGCCTCCGAACCTTCCACTGTGGCTGGTTCTCTGGTTGCAGCTCGGAGAGCTCGTGCAAGAGCAGCTCTCGCAGTCCGTGCGGGAGCGCGAGCTGGCAGCGGCTCGCAACTGGACGGCGAGCGCGGCCCCGCCGCCTCCGCCGCCCCCACCGCCGCCGCCTGCTGCGTCTGCGGCCGCGTGGGCGTCTGGGGCGCCCCTGTGGGCGGCGGCCGAGTGCCCCGCCTGGGAGCCAGCGGCGGAGGAGTGCCCCGCGGTCGCGCCCGAGCCCCCATCAAGCTGGGCCAGTGGGCCGCTGCTGTGGTGGGCGGGGCAGGTGCTCGGCGGCGCCGCGTGGCGCCTGTGGCAGGCGCGGCGAGGGGCGAGGACAGCGACGGCTACGAGAGATGGCGAGAGCTCACGTGCCGTTGTGCCTCGCCGCAGGGGAGTAAGAGTTCTGGCGTGAAGCGGCGGTGGGCTCGCGAGCCCGCGTGAGCTACTCGGACGATGATGTGGATCACGAGAGATACCTACTATTGCCAGATCGACGTGTGCGCGAGGACGGATCGGGGATAGATGGCGACGAGGTCTGGTGGGTTCTCTCTCCCGGCGGGGACGTGTGGAAGGATCGGCTCGACGGAGAAGATCCTCTCACGGGCCCAAGCGGGGCTCGACCGATGCCGAACGTAAGCTACCCGTTGCTTGGCGCTCGGCGGCTGTACAAGTTCAGGGAGAGACCGAATCTGGAACATATCATGACGCTGAGCAAGGGGTGCCGTGACGTCGAGACGGCGAGGGGACAGAAGATGGAGGAATGGCCGAAGCACGTTGTCGGGGACGATGGTCATCGTACTGAGCTGTCGGCTGTGTTGCGTGCTGCTCGATGTGACCTGGCTCAGCTTGTGGGCGCCTCTCCCCCTGCAGACACGGTCTGCATGCTGATGGAGCCAGGCGGCGGGCGGGCCATAGGCGAGGAAGTGCACATGGCGCCGACGGACGTGACGACTGGCAGCGACGGGCTGAAGTTCATGGGATCGGAGGTGTCCCGGGTGCGTCGACTGGCCGTCGGTTGTGCACCCGCCTTGGCCAGCGAGCAGATAGCGCGCCTGCGCCGAGCCGTAGACGTGTTCACTCCGCTGGTTGACAGATCTGTGGAAAAGGGAGTGAAGGACCAGCTCGGGCTGAACACTAGCGAGAACGGGGGCGAGGCTGGCAGTGGAGAGGAGCGCAAAGCGACCAGTAGCGTGGACGACGTGAGGGCCCTCAGCGTCGACTTCGACGGGCACGGCGAGAGGGCCAAGGACTGGGCTCAGCGTGGTGAGCGAGATCACGGCCGAGAGCTTCCCCGACGACCCGATCGACGCGCCCGTGTCGATCGTCCACCTGGCGAAGGCCATGTACAAGAGCGGCGGCGACCCGATGCGATGGCTGGCCGAGTGGAGCCGAGAGCACCGCGTCGAGCGCGCGGATCGGATCTACCACGAGCTGGATTCTTTGCCGCGCCATTCTGCTAGCAGGAACCTACGACCAGGTGAACTTGGGCGGTCTGAGGTCGTTGAAGAGGCTCGCGAGGCGGATCCGGGTGATCACCGACGCCTATTCGGTGCCTGGGGCTCCAGCTAACTGGCGGATGGCCCGCTACCTCGCAGGCGAGACGGGCCCAGGAGACGCGGTGGCGCCTGAGCTGCGCAGCTTCGGGGCCAAGCGGGCCAAGGAGGACGCCGAGTTCTTGAGCGCTCGGGTTCGGGGCCCCACGGCGGCCGAGCGGCCCGAGACAGAGAAAGGCGGCGGCAAGGGCGACAAGAAGGGGCCGAAAGGGCCGAAGAAGGCTCCCGACGCGACCGCGTCGGGAGCTGACAGATGATGATGGAAGGTGTGGCCGCTGGGCGTGGTCCAGCCAGCGGCCTCGAGTGTGCAGGGCTGCGTGGGCCGTGGCCTGGGGGCGGCGCCCGCGACATCTTCCCGCTGCCAGGGGGGGGGGAGCTCGTGGGCCAGACGGCGCCAGGGCGAGGACGGTTTCGACTTCGTCAGCGGCGCTTTCACGATGTACTGGTGAACGAGGCTGTTGACAGCCTCAATTGGCTTGCAGGGGCATCCGTGGGGTCTTCCACGACGCCCGTGACGGCCGTGCAGCTCGACGTCGCGCAGCGCGTCGATGGGCAGGTGAACGACATCGCGCAGGCGATGCGAGGCGTGGAGCTGCAGCCTCCGCATTCAGCCCTTCGGGAGTTGATGCGAGGGAGGTCGCTTTCTCGGCGGCCCTCCCGAGGGCGTGCTCGCCCCTTGCCGGCCTGGGCTGCCGTCGCTTCCCAAGAGCATCGCCGAGGCGCCGGCGCTTCGTGAACTGCTTCGGGGGCGAGCGCGCCAGTGCGTGGAGGGGCAGGGCGAGCGCGTGCAGCGGGACCACGAGAGCGCGCTCGAGGCGCTGGAGCGTTGCCCGCGGGTGCCCTTCAGCGAGCCATCGCTGGTGCGGGGCCAGCGGCGGTGCGGTGATTTTGCGAGGGGTCGTGCGAAACGTGAACTGGTGTCATTTGCACGTGAGGTCTCGGAGATGGTGGGCATCTTTTTCGTCTGGAAAAAGGGGGGAGTACAGACTCGTATGATTCTGGATTGTCGCAGGAGCAACGCTTGGTTGATAGATCCCCCGTCGGTGCAGTTGCTGACGGCGGAGGGTCTCTCGGCCTTCGAGCTCGAGGAGGACGGGGGCGCCGAGGACCGCTTGCAGGCGGTCCTCCAGGCGGCGCTCGAGGACGTGGATTTCTCGGTGGGGGTGGCGGACGTGAAGGGCGCCTTCCGCCGTGTGCGGCTGCCGCCCTGGATGAAGCGCTTGTTCGGCCTGCCCGCCCTGAAGGCCGGGGGCGTCAGGCTCCATGGGGCGATGCTGGAGGGGGGGTGCTCGGCTACGACGACGTTATCTCCCCTGTCCCCGAGGCTCTCCCGATGGGGTGTACCTGGGGCATGTACCTGTGCCAGAGCGCGACGGAGCTCCGCTGTCAGTTCGCGCCGAGCCTTCGCGACGGCACGCCCCTCAGTGACGTGGGGAAGCCGTTGGTGCTCAGGTTGGCAGCGGGCGCGACACAGATCGAGCACTGCGTGTACGTCGACAACATGGGCGTGATCGGGCAGAACGGGGAGCGCGTGAGCAGCAGCCTCGACGAGCTGGTGCAGGCTTTCGAGGCCGTGGGTCTACGCGTCCACGGGCGTGAGGGTCGGAATGGCGGCATCCAGGTGCTCGGCGTGGTGCTGGGCGGCCAGAGGCTGCAGACGCGCCCGACGTCGAAGAGGGTCTGGAGGGTGCGCCAGGCGATCGCGGGACTGCTCCAACTTCGTGCAGTCCGTGGTGATGACCTGCGCGCCCTGCTGGGGCACTGCGCGTACCTGGGCCTGGTGCGCCGCCCCGTGCTTTGCGTCTTTCACTCTGGTTATAGGTTTGTGACGAAAATGGGCAAATATTCAGCGCCACTTTGGAAAAGTTGCCGAGAAGAGTTGAAGGCATTTCCAGCCGTGCTTCCCCTGATCGTCTCAGATTGGTGGTTGCCATATAATCGATGGGTGCAGTGTTCAGATGCTTCAGAGAGCGGGTTTGGTATAGCGGGGGGCTTCTGGGACCTCGAGGCTCTCAACTCCGTGGGGCGCTGGCGGGAGAGGGGTCGTTTCCGTGCCGAAGGGGGGGGAGGGGGGGGGGGGGGCTGACGCTCGTCGCTCCGCCCTCTCTGCCGCGGGTCTTAGGGAGTTTCTGACCGCCAGGGGAGAGGGCGCCGCTCTCTGTGTCGACGAAGGTGAGAAGGCCTTGGCCGAATCCACGCTGCCCAGGGGTGACTACGAGATGGACCCCGAGTTCTGTGAGGTGCCCAGCTCTCTCCTGTCTCATCAGCTTTGGCGTAGCGTAGGCCAGGGGACGTGGAGGTACAGTGAGCACATCGGCATTCTAGAGTCCAGGGCGGCCCTCGTGAAATCTCTGAGGCGTGTTGCACTCACTCGTTTCGGCTTCCATGCCAGGCAGCTCTTATTAGTCGACCGCCTCGGTGTAGCACTCGCGTTTGATAGGTGTCGGTGTCGTAGCTTCGCGATATTGCGACATATACGTAAGTTCGCTGCCTATCTTTTAAGTCGAAACCTTAGGGCGATCGTCCGCTGGGTCCCAAGTGAGCTTATCAATAGTGACGAAGGCTCGCGGGCCGACGGTGGCGAGCCATCCAAGATCCTAACGCGTCTGATTCCTGTCTCTCTGCCTGCCTTTTCTCTTCCTCCTGAGTCGAATCTCAGGGGCGAGGATGAGTAGAATATTATAGTTGGCGACGGCCCCCCCCGTGTCCGTGCGCGCCGCTCGGCCACCTGAAGCTGTCGGCGTGCTGAACCTGAGTCAGTTCTCAAGTCAGTCTGTTCTAGTTGCTGTAATGCAGAATGTGAGCAATCGAGTGGCCCCGCTTCGGTGCACCAGGCGCGAGCTCTGGAAACAAACGAGCATCGCCGTCGCCCCTCCTCTCTCGCCCTCGGGGCTCCCTGCTCCTCTGGATCCCGTGGGGCCCCTGCGTCTCGGTCTCACTCCGTAGGCGTTTTGGCTCAGGCCGTTGTGGGTGCCTCGGGCGCTGCCGAGAGCTCGGCCGACCGCGACGGGCCCTTCCCCGGCAGCAGAGCCATCGTCGGCGTCGCGGCTGAGGGTGCTCACGCGGGAGGGAGCTCGAGGCGCGAGCGGGGCCCCGTTGGAAGGCCGAGGGCCGCCAGTGCCAGCGGGGGGCTCGCGAGTGCAGTGCCTGGGGGCGGCGGCGAAGGCGCAGCCTGCCGCCGCCCGAAGGCGCGTCGCTGGAACGCGGGCTCGGCCAGCTGGGGAGAGCTCGAGCGGCGCTGCCAGCGAGTCCGAGGCCGCCGTCGAGCTCAAGCGGCAGAGGACGCTGGTGAGGCGTGTGAAGAGGCGACGCCGCGCGGTGGCTCGTGCGATCGAGGGCGGGGTGCCGCCCGACCGATACTTGGAGTCGAGCACGGTGGCGCCGCGGGTGAGGGCCCAGTACCAGAGAGTGCTCGAGCAGTTGAAGCAGAGGTGTGGCCGCCAGGACTTTTTCGAGATGCCAGCGGAGACGATGGGCGCCTGCCTGGTCCACTACTTCACCTCGCTGTGCCTGCTGGGCGAGCTGGCTTCGGCGGGGATGTATGTCGCGGCGGCTGTGAACCATTTCTACCCGAGGTTTGGGCGCTTGGGAGCGGACGCGCTGCAACGGATTTGGAAGGCGCTGAAAGGATGGAAGCGGCTGACGCCTGGGGGGCCAGGATGCCCGAGCCGCTGAACATCTGGTGCGCCCTTATGCATGTTCTGGTGTTACGGGGGCGACGGATGATGGCGGTGTTCTTGGCGCTGGCTGTGTCTACCTACCTCAGGCCGTCGTCCCTGTTCCGTCTGCGCCCTGGCGACATAGTGAAACCAGGGGGTGGCAGCCAGCGCTGGGGGCCCCTCATGCGCCCCCAGGATCGAGCGACGCCCGACAAGGTGGGAGAGTTCGACCTGGGCGTGAGGCTGGACTCCTCATGGCTTCGGTGGATCGGGCCAGTCCTGAGCGATATGCAGATGCTCGATCCTCGGAAGCCTGTGCGGGAGTTCGACTACCCCGAGCTGCTGCGCGAGATGAAGGCGGCCTGCCGTATGCTGCAGCTGCGGCCCGTCACGCCGTATCGGGCGCGGCACTCGGGCGCCAGCATCGACCGTGCCAGCGGCGAGAGGGCGCAGGCAGAGGTGCAGCGGCGAGGAGGCTGGCGCCAGTTGAAGAACATGGCGCGCTACGGGAAGAGCGCGCGCCTCGGGCAGCGCGCGCAGATGCACGGGCCGAGGCTGGAGGCGTACGGCGACCAGTGCTTGCGCGAGCATGAGCGCGCCTTGGTGTGGGGGCGAGCGGTGCCGCTGCCGGGAGGCATCCAGCCCTCGCCGAGCGGTGCAAAGCGCTCCTGATCGGGGACGAGCTGGCCATGATCGGGTCGGGCCTCGCCGAGAGCGGGGTGCCTACCTGGATGTGGCGAGGCGACGCCCTCTGTGACGAGCGGCTGGGCGCGCCCCTGGAGCGCCGCCTCCAGGCGTACATTCGGCGTGGCGAGGTGGCCGTGCTTTTCCTGTCGCCCGCGCTGCCGTCAGCGAGCAAAGCTACAGGGGGGCTAGCAGGCCACCACCGTCTGCAGAGGTTTGCGGAGCGTTTGAAGCGCCTCATTGCCGCTGCCTGGCAAGCTCGAGTGCCGCTCCTCCTGGAGATGCCCCAGGGTAGCCGGCTCTGGCCACATCTTTCGAGCCAGCCCGAGGTGCCAGAAAGTTTCGTGACGAAAGTTGCCAATGGCAGATGCATGTTCGGAGCCTCCTGGAGACACCGTTGTATATACATGCGCGTTGGCCGTTGGCACGGAGCCCGAAGACATATCGATATTGGCCCGTACTTGTGGCAGCTGCGCAGGCATTTGTGATAGGACTGGCGTCCCTCATATCTGCCTACGGGGCAGAGATAGATTCGGGGTGAGCCACACTAGCTATTCACTGAAACGCCCAGCACTTTTAAACCACGCGCTCACTCACTCCCTCCAGTCCATCGCGAGAGCCTCTATCTATAATGCTAACCCTGTGTAGGGGGCAGGGGGCTCCCGCGCGGCGGGGGGGTTTTCGTCTGACTGTCTTCGGTTCCCTCTGAGCGGGGCCTTTTCGGCCCCTTGTCCCAGAGCTCTGGAGGAGCAGCTCGCTTATCGCAGCGAGCCGTCGTTATCAGAACTCGGTTCTCCGCCTAACGAAACAGCGTATCATGATGATGGTGATGCTGATGATGATGATTCTGATGATGGTGGCAGTGGTGGTGGTGGTGACGATGATGATGATGATGATGCTGATGCTGATGCTGCTGATGATGCTGATGACGGTGCTGTTGTTGATGGTGGTGATGATGAGGATGTTGACGGTTCTGATGATGATGCTGATGATGCTGATGATGATGTTGCTGATGCTGATGCTGCTGATGATGATGATGCTGATGCTGGTGACGATGATGATGATACTGATGATGATGCTGATGCTGATGCTGATGACGCTGATGATGATACTGAGGATGATGATGCTGATGATGATGATTATGATGACGATGCTGATTATGATGATGATGCTGATCCTGATGCTGATGCTGATGCTGCTGCTGATGTTGATGCTGATGCTGCTGCTGATGATGATGATGATGATGCTGATGATAATGCTGCTGCTGCTGCTGATGATGATGATGATGATGATGATGATGATGATGATGATGATGATGATGATGATGATGCTGATGCAGATGCTGAGGGGAGGAGGAGGAGGAGGAGGAGGAGGAGGAGGATGAGGAGGAGGAGGAGGAGGAGGAGAGGAAGAGGGGGAGGAGGAGGAGGAGGAGGAGGAGGAGGAGGAAAAGGAAGAGAAAGAGGAGGATATGGATGGGTTGGAGAAGGATAGCGAGGTCCAGAATCAGGAGGATGAGGTGCGGAGCAAGAGGGATGATGATGTTGTGGAGGAGGAGGAGGAGGAGGAGGAGGAGGGAGAAGGAGGAGAAGGAGGAAGAGGAGGAGGAGCGGGAGGAAGAGCAGGAGCAGGAGCAGGAGCAGGAGGAGCAGGAGGAGCAGGAGGAGCAGGAGGAGCAGGAGGAGAAGGATGAGGTGCAGGAGGAGCAGGAAGAGGAGGAGCAGGAGGAGCAGGAGGAGGAGCAGGAGGAGCACGATCATGAGGTGCGGAGCAAGAGGGAGAAGGAGGAGGAGGAGGAGGAGGAGGAGGAGGCTCATTCACAGACCAGGGACGGTGACGGTGCCACAAGTCACACATTCACAAACAGTGCTTGCACCCAGGGGTTCTTACTTCTCCTGTGAGGAACTTCGGCTCGGGTGCGGCCCCGGCGGCCCTGCCCCCGCCCGTCGCCGCCGCACCCTTTGCACGCCCCTCGGCTGCATTGCAATCGCATTGCATCGCGACCGCATTGCGCTGTATTGCAACCGCACTGCGTTCCATTGCTTGTCATTGCCTTGCGCTGCAATCGCTGTGCATTGCATTGCATTGCATTGCAGTCGCATGACACTGCACTGCATTGCATCGCTGTGCATTGCTTTGAGTTGCTTTGCATCGCTCTTCATTTCGTTGTAGTGCTTTGCATCGCTTTGTATTGCGTTGCATCGCATTGCATTGCATTGCTTTGCATTCATTTGCATGGACTTGCATTGCTTTGCATTGTCTTGCATTGCTTGGCATTGCTTTGCATTGCTTCGAGCTGCGCAGTGTGTTTCATTGCATCGCTTGTCTTGACATTGCTTTGCATGGCTTTGCATTGCTCTGTATGGCTGTGCACTGCGTTGCATGCTGTGCGCTGGTTTGCGTTGTTTTGTATGGCTTAGCGTTGCGTTTCATCGTTTTGCATGGCTTGGCATCGCATTGCATTGTTTTGCATGGCTTCGCATTGCCTTTCTGCTGCCCTGCATTGTTACCTAACAGCGAAGACTGATAGGTTTCTAGTGGGGTCAAAAGAGAGCATCCTGATTCCCCAGGGGGGTCTGGGCAGGATCCAGGGGATGCCGGGGAAAACCGGGGATCCGCGCCTGATATGGGGGAACTCAGTCGGGGGTGCCGTGGGTGCCCGCCTGATATGGGGGAACTCAGTCGGGGGTGCCGCGGGTCCACGCCTGATATGGGGGAACTCAGCTGACGGGTGCCGCGGGTGCTTGCCTGATATGGGGGAACTCAGTGGGGGGGCCGCGGGTGCACGCCTGATATGGGGGAAGTCAGTCGGGGGTGCCGCGGGTCCACGCCTGATATGGGGGAACTCAAGCGAGGCTGAGGCTGAGGCTGCGGCTGAGGCTGAGGCAGGCTGAGGCAGACGCTGAGGCAGGCTGATGCATCCGAAAGCCCATGAGCAGTGAGGAGGAGAGATGCCTCCTGTCGAGCGCCACGGTGTGCTTAGAGGGAGGAAGAGGTGGAGGAGGAGGAGGAGGAGGACGAGGATGAGGAGGAGGAGGAGGAGGAGGAGGAGGAGGAGGAGGAGGAAGGAGGAGTTCGAGGAAGGATACGCAAGGTTTTTCTCAGCGGTTCTGGCCTCTGGAGGCCCAGTTGCAGGTTGCGATTGTCATTGCGAATGCGACTGCGACTGCGAAGGCATCAGAATTCTATAACAGGACTCCTACATGAATCTCAAAAGGAATGCTCCCATATATGCTTCTACACATCGCTGTTAGGTTGCTTTGTGGGGATTTTTGTTGTTCTTTTTCTGTGTGGCCTTGCAGCGCATGACATGGCTAGACATTGCTCTGCATGGCTCTGCGGTTCTTTGCATTTCTTGGTATCACTTTATATTGCTTTGCACTGCTTCGCGTTGCTTTGCACTGCGCCCTTCCGCCGACACCCATAATTGCAAAGTCGCCAAGAGTCGGGCCACCCTGCCTGGCCTGTGGTTCAGGAGCCTCGGGGATGCCTTTGAGGGTCTCCTGGACTGCCCCTTCCAGGGCCTCTTTGTAGGGCTCTTGGGGGCTCCCGTCTTGCTTTTTCGTGTCTCTTGGAGGCCTCTTGGGTGCCTCCTGGAAGCCTCTTGGGGCCTCATGTGGGCTCCTCGGGGGTCACCGGAGGGCTCTTGGGGCCATCGCAGCGGGGACGGCTCGAGACGACAATTCGTATTGCCCCTCTCCTCGGGGCCCTCCTGGGCAGTCTCGGGGGCTCCTATGACCGTTTGGGGGCCCTCTTGGACTCTCTTGGGGCTCTATCGGGCCGCCTTGGGGCCCTCTTGGGGGGCTCGTTGGCCGTCTTGGGATGATCTTGGGGGCTCCTTGGTCCGCGGTGGAAGCTGTCAAGACGACGCAGTCGTGCATGTCGAACACGGAGTTCTTTCTTGTGGCATACGGGGCTGTCCCTGACGAAATGTTGCACCACGCAGATTCTCCTTTCTAAAACGAGAATAGGCTCTACCCCCCCCCGGACTTATCCGTTCGCCTTTCGGGTATGTAAATCATATATGATTCTGACCACTCGTCCATTCTAAATATGAAATCATACCATCCCAGCTAGGCCGGGTCCCCCCCCCTGAGGTTCCCTTGTAAATAACATTATGCTGTGACATGTTTTGTTCTAACATATCACTTTTTCACGAATCCCTTGCAAACAAATGGGACGAAGTGCACACGCGCGCGTCGTCGCGCGCGCATGCCGAAATCCTTCAAAAACCTTCGGTGCCAGAAGGATTTCGCAATCGAGTTTCCAAACAACATGCAAAAACACAGGGTTTCGCACCACTGAGTTGCTAAACAAGCTTACGCGCGAGCTCTTGCGACATCTTAGGAAAAAACCATAGGTTTTTCAATATTTTCACAACATGCTACCAAACGGGCGTCACGCGCATGTCGAAATCTGTCGAACGCCCTTGGGCGTGTGCCGTCGCGAGAATCCTCTGCAAAAAATGAGACGAAGTGCACACGCGCGCGTCGTCGCGCGCGTATGCGAGATCCTTCAAAACCCATCGGTTTCGGAAGGATTTCAAAATCGTGCGTCCAAAAAACATAACAAAGACACAAGGTTTCGCAACACGGATTTTCAACAAAAGCGTGCGCGCGCGCGCTCTTTCGGCGTCGTCGTCGTCGTCGCCGTCCTCCCTCCTCCCGCGTCGTCGTCGTCGTCGTCGCCTACGTCGTCCTCTGTCTTTCCTCGTGTTCGTCGTCGTCGTCCTCTTTGGCGTCGTGGTCGTTTCCGTCGTCGTTGTCGCCGTGGTCGTCCTTCCTCCTCCTCCCTCGTCGTCGTCGTCGTCCGTCGTCGGCGTCTCGTCGTCGTCCCTTCTATTTCGTCGCCGTCGTCGTCGTCGTCGTTGTCGTCGTCGTCGTTGTTTTCTCTCCTCCCTCGTCGTTGTCGTCGTCGGCGTCGCCGTCCTTCCTCCTACTTCGTCGTTCGCGTCGTCGCCGTCCTCCCTCCTCCTTCGTCGTTGTCGTCGTTGTCGCCGTCGTCGTCCTCCCTCCTCCCTCGTCGTCGTCTTCGTTGGCGACGTCGTCGTCGTCTTCGTCGTCGTCGTCGGCGTCGGCGTCGTCCT